GGAACATCGTCAATGCACCCTGGTACTGCCACAATACTGATCTTCATAGGCACCTTAAAGTGGAGACTGTTGGAAATACAATACAAAAATTTGCCAGTAGTCACTAACAACAACTGCTCCAGCATGGAAACCTCGAGATTATCCAGCTCCTCAACAATGCCAAATCGAATAAGAAGACTCAAGAGACCAAGCCTTTTGAGTTAGTTTAGTGATGTTAAAGCATAGTATAGTGCATATAAGTTCTTATAATAATAAATATTTAACATCAATACTCACTTAGTTTTTTTTTTAATGAGACTAGCAACAAAACCATAACCGTTTGTCTAGTATTAAAAATAAATATCACTCCTAGATATGGATAAGAAAATATTAAAACTTTATTTCTTGTACACTTTTATTTAATCACAGCACACATTATTTTCATTTACAATATTTGCTTGATGTTCATATGTCCCAGTCTATTTTGTTCACCTTTTCTAGTAGCTTTTTCTGCTAAACTTTAGTCCCCATTCTACCTCCACCTAGGTAATGAATTACTCAACCATTTAGTCAACAACGGGGTTTTACTTGTTTTACAGAGTAAGATACTTATCTTTAATGTTCAAGTTTTAGAATTTGAACTTGGATTAGGCCATTTTCGTCAATTTTGTTCTTAGAGCTTTTGTAAAAACACTTGGGAAGTACTCTCACAAATTTATTTCTTATTTTGCCTAGCGAAGAAATTGTGTATTAGGAAATATTCTGGTTTTTACCTTAGTGGTCAAGAAAAGCGCTTATAGTGGATACTTTTCCTAACTCGATAAACATTTATTACCTAGATGTTGGTCCCTTTATCACCAGCCTACAATTTCAACTCTTTTGTTGTTAACTTTAACTTCATCTGTGACTTTAACTATGATTGAGACTTCAATTTTATCTTCACATTCTTTGTCTGACTTTCAATCATACATGCATGATTATTGTGCATAGACCAATTAAATTGGACCAGCACGCTTGTGGTGCATGTTGTGTGTTACTACGGTAGGCCTTTACATAAGTAGCCATAATCTCTGTAGATGGTGAGAAGCCCAGCTCAAACCAACTACCATAATATCGTCATTGGATCTATAGGTCTCAAGTAAGATCACTTCATATTTTACATTTGTTAGAAGTGCACCTGCACACCGCTGGTTGTGGCTTCGCTGATTTACTGAATGTCTTGCATGAAGATATACACCTTTCAGTCTGAATCTACAAAAGTACCAAGACCAAGTAAGATTAATCCACATTTTGATTTCCTGAATAGTGCATCTACCTACACAGAGATTGCTTATTAGCCATTTTCCGCAAGCCTTGCAATAAGTTTCGTATCTGATTATCGAACTTTTAGTGTATGAACATTTGTTCTTAATTTCAAGAAAGTTGTTAATTAAAGTAAGGTTAGATTACTTAACATTTGGGACCTTGTACTTTCCGATTTAAAGACAGAAAGCATTGGGCTCATAGAAAAACGAAAAACTAAAGATTGAGCTATTTATGTGCCCTAGTGCAAGTGTTCTGTGCCTAGTGCAAACGTGTGACTACTGATCCAATAAATCGAACTGTGTTTATTTTTGTCGCTTATGGGTGAGATTACAGAACGTCTGCAACTTTGCAACTTTGCAAATCTGCAAATATGGCGGACTTACAAATGCAAGTATTCCAAAAAATATCTGCAAATTCGCAATATTTATTGTGGTTTATTGCCCCCAACAACACTAAACCCAAATTTGGAATACGAAAACTTGATACTTGCATGTTTAAGTCAGTCATATTTGCAGATTTTCAAATTTGCCGCCATATTTGCAGATCTGCAAAGTTGCAGACGTTCTGTAATATCACCCTATGTGAACCAAAAATGTATTATTTTTTTTGTCTGTGAATGATTTCAACGCTTTAGGGTTAATTTTACCATTGTGTTAAAGTTTAAACTATTAATTGAAAATTAAAATTACATTTTATGTAAAAATGTCATTTTAAACTTCGTTAAACCCAATGGTGGAATCGGCCCCAAGTTAGTTATATCATGGTCATTGATTAGTTGCAATTTTGCAAATAATATATTCTCCAGCGCTTAATAGCCCTTGAGTGATAATTAAATCAGTTATATTTTATTTCTTTCATTTACTTTATTCAGCACCTCTCGGCTGAAAACCGGGCATATTTAAGCTTTTAAATCTCCTTCTTTTATAACCTCTGCCTTCCACCACCTTTTAAGTCAATGTCAATAAAAAGGAAAATAATTTTTTTATAATTCAAATAATGATACTTAACCAGAAATAGTACAATAAAAACTTGTAAATCCGGTTCTGCTCTTCCGCCATTTTAGTGAGTGCAAAAGCCACGCCTACCGGTCCCACTTTTGTATATCAAAAATAATACATATGACGTATCCTTACGTTGCCTTATCAATGGTTGGGCGTGTCGGACCTCTCTCTTGCCCAATGACATATATATGCTATATGTCATTGCTCTTGCCCCGTATAGTAATCAAAGTATGTGGGTAATAATTAGGCATTCCAAACAAATGAATTGCCAGTGGGAAGGTTTGGTATATCTAAGGGTGGCGACATACGGTGTATTCTATCTACTTTACGTAAAATCATGAATAATGGATTACATTTAAATTTTTTATGTCAAACACAATAAAAATAATATTTAAAAAACCTACCTATACATTTCTTCATAAATTGGCAGGCTTGGCGATTACTACTTCGAATAAAAATAGCGTCCAAGTTGCAAAACTATGTCGCTACCCCCTTAGATATACAAGAATTTCCCACTGGCACATATTGTTTGACAGGTCGTTGGAATGCCTAATACATTCATTCAAACCCCCCAAAAACCATTATGTGAACTAAAGGCCAATATAAATATTTTTTCTTTATAATACGTATTTTCACTCTATTACAAATAACTTTTTTTTTAGAATATTATTACAAAAAGGATCGATAAGAATTTATTTAAAACTTGGAAAATTGTAATATCTGAACATACTTTGATTTTCTCTTCCTATACGGAGAATGGTCGCACTGCGCAGCTTTCTGAGTGCCTTATAAAAAGAGATAGAAAACTGCGTTAGTTTGATGCCTTATTACTTGTTGCCTACATCTTGGCGCGGTATTTTTAATATTTTGCTTGCTGCTGTCAGTGTCAGTGAATATTATTTTTGAAGTCACAGTTTATTGCTAAAGAATCAGTTAGCTCACTCGGACCAGTTGAAAGTTCCAAAATAACATCCACTCCAGGGATACAAATTCAGGATACGCAGCAGACTGCTGTTTTATTATAGGCGGTTGTCATATATTGTATTATCTGAGTTGCGCAGTGTATAAACTGGAACATTGAGATAAAAAGTGCCGACGCAGAGTGAGCGATCTGATTCTTTAGCTATAAACTGTGTCATAGGGTTCAAAATGGCCGCGCCCTATGTTGGGCGTGTCGGACCTCTCTCTTGCCCCGTATAGTAATCAAAGTATGTGGTCGGACCTCTCTCTTTCGCCGTATAGTAAATATCTCTAAGTCGATTTTGATTCTAATGGAGACACCTTTTTGTCACATCCTCAACTATCATACGCCATTCCCTCCTTTACTTCATAATAATGAAACATATATAGTTATATAGATTACTCAAAGCGGGTCGTTTACGAGCGGCCATATTGCTTCCCAAGTGCTCATTAATTAGAATAAATTTTGCAAAAATGTGTTTACAAACCAATATTTAGCCTTTGAATATAGTAAAAAAAATAACTACATTTTTACTTCAAGGCATAAGTTTATGTTTATTTTAAAAAATATGGATGATCAATCTATGTAACTATCTATTTAATTGACGTTGTCAAATCACCAAGCCTACAGGGTTGCCATAATTTTGCGATATCATAACCTGTCAAAGCCCACTGGTAGTCATTTTGTTTAGAATGCGTAATTGTAAAGTGCAAAACTTCATTTGAAAGCTGATTTAATCTGTAATTTAATGCGTAGCATGATATGCTTCATGTTTCACTCATCATATTTGGTTATATTGTGTACTAAATTACTAATAAAATTAGCTTTCAAATGAAGTGCAATACTTTAGAATACATAACGGTTTCATACTTCGCTAGAGGGTGCTAAAATCAAAAGAAAACGCAATTAATATTATATTGCTATATTATCAATTTAATTATCTCTGATGATGTCATATTTGGTACTTTTCATATTAGGCAGAGATATTAGGTATTATAACGATCTGTCAAAATGCTGCCCGTGGGCACGGTTCGTAGATAATATAGTGATCTCATGCGGTTACTAGCTCCTTGTGACGTCACAGAATGAAAAATCGAGGCGACAGAAAATATTCTGTTGCGGTTCGTACATTAGTTTTTTAAAAAATCTAATATTTTATTAATATTTAGTGGTGTTTATATTTTTACTTTTAAACTATTTTCCAGTATTATAAAGAGAAATATTATTGTGTGAATTTGTTAATTTTAAACATTTTGGGTTAGAGTACGGCTTTCGAGACACACTCGGGCCACATTTTGTTTATATTCTAAAATAATTTGAAATTTTAGCATCCCTATAGCAAGCTGTAGTGTTGCTGTTTACAAACACAATTTTTACAAACAAAAATAATCAAAGGAAAGGGACTGAACCTAAAATGAAATTAAAGGCTAATAGTAAGATTTTAGAATATTATTCTGCAATCATGATTCACAATTATTAAATTAATTGTAGCTCTGTTCACTATACATTTAACAGCAGATGAGATGGTTTTTTACAAGCATTAAATACAACCAAGAGCACTTGACATATGACAGTTGAGCATATAATAGAAAGGTACCTTCCTTGAAATAAAAATCGTCCTATTCCAAGAAAATTTTTGATATTTTCTTCTGTTCATGAGATATTGCCCATTATAAGTTTTAACATTGTCACCCCGTATATATAGTAATTAAAACTATGTACTTGTATATAGGAAGTAGATTAAAACTACCGAACTAAACTATCTTTCAAATTATTCTTTATTTCATCAGTTAGGGACACTGTAAATGTCAATTTCATGTCAAATTCTAAAATGATTTTCACAACATAAATTTTGGGAGGAATTTCGTATATCAATTTTAATGTAAAATTACATTACATGGATCTGATGGAATCAACATTTTGTGAAGGTATTTACTTATTTATAAGTATGTGATATAACTTTTTAGATTAAGTCAATAGATCCTTAACATATCCTTAAGAATATATGAAACCAAATGTATGACTTGAACAAAAATCTGCCATCAGAGTGGTATTAAATCTTCATTTCTGTAGAATCCAGTAGTGAATGAGCTGATAGGGAGCCTAAAAAGAAAAGGATCGTATAATCTTGAGATATGCAAATAGTAACTTAGTAATCATAGTTCAGAGGAAATATACTTAGACCAGAAGCAAACAGATCTTAATTTGATTAAATTGTTAGGTTAGGATAAGATAAATATTGTCTCCATAAATGACATTAGGCTGGAGGCTAGAAACTCATTTGGAAAAAATAGTTATTACATTGGTTTTCTTTAGTATGGTGATCGGTAATCACATTTTATTCCTCATATATACAAATTTTAAAGTTCCTCACCGTAACCAAAATTTAAATTAGGGTCAAGTGGTGTAAAAATGAGACAAGACATATTTTGGATAAAAATGAGACAGTCGATTCTTTACAGCTAAAAATAATTTGAATGAGATGCAGACAAGAAGTAATAAAGTCTACATATTGTAGATCCCAATTGCATATTTATTCAAACAACAATATTAATATATAGAAAAATAATTTAATACAACTCAATAAGTCGAATTTTTATGACCAAAACTTTTAAAATTGCCGCACAAACTTTGTTGCCACGCCGGTGGTAATTCATCGGGCGCGCCCGATCTAGGTCGCAGTTTGAAGACTGAGGTGTACCGGCACTCTGAGAACGAGCCGTACAGTCTGCTGCTAAGAGTCATTGAGCGAGTAAGTGTTATTTTGCCGGGGTAAATTTAAGACGCCACTTTGGGTAAATATGAGACGCTTCATGGGGTAAAAATAAGACTTTTATATACCATTTCCATTATAGGTTCTACAGTACACAATGCCTAGAAATTACGTCCCAAAAGCAAAGCCGTACACAGACGAAGACCTAAAAATGGCGCTTACCTTAGTAAAGGAAGGTAAGTTGTCTATTCGATCCGCCAGAAGAAAATGGAACAGCTTGCCGTGCAAAATAATATCACTTTGTTTAAATTACTACCTCACGCCACAGATATTTTGCAACCATTAGACAAGTGTTGCTTTGGACCACTAAAGTTTAAATGGAATCAGAAACTTACAGAGTGGCAGAGATTAAATCAGAGACGTCTCACCAAAAGCGAATTTGCTGATATGATCTGCGAGCTATGGAACGAAGGGATTACAGAGGCCGTAATAAAAAAGTCTTTTGAATCAACTGGTATTTTTCCTTGCTCTAGGGAAAAATATCCAGTAGAACGATTCAATGCAATAAAGCTGCAAAAATACAACGAAAGTGTTCAAAACTCTTATTCTCTCAACATATACCAAATAAACCAAGACGAGGAAAATGATGAGCTTGAAGCAAACAATAGCCAACCGGAAATTGAGCAAAATAGACCAAACGAAGATAAGAGTAACAAAACTGATTCATTTAAAAATAATAATGTTGAACCGCAACCGTCTTCGTCTACTTCATTTGAGCATATTTTGCTTCAAAAAATCAACAAAACAAATCCTGAAATAAAACGAAGGCGCAAAATTAATTCCGGTTGTGCTGTTTTAACTAGCTCCCAATATTTAAATAGTATCAAGGAAAAAGAATTGCCACAAAAAAAAGAAACAAAGAAAAAAATCGCCGAGTCCTCTTCGGACGTTGAAAGTATTTCTTATCAAGAAGAAAGCGACACTGAAAATATGACCTTACAAGAAGTATTAGAAGAAGAAATGGGAAAGCAGGAGATCGAAGAATTTAATTATTTAACAGCGGAAATAAAAATTGGGTACTATATTTTGGTAAAGTTTTGTCCAAAAAAAAAAGAAGTTACGTTACGTTGCGCTAGTAGAATCAGTTATAGAAGATGGGTTTTCTGTATCTTATTTGCGCCGAAAAGGTGAAAAATTTATATTCCCCCAAATACCCGAAAAATATGATGTACGAAAGGACGACATTGTAATGAAATTACCTGCTCCCACAACTCATGGAGGTACTGCCAGAGTTTCACAAAAGTTGGTATTTTTGGTTGATATTCATAAATATAATGTGAACTATTTTGTATTTTGTTTTTATATGCAAAGCGCAATTTAAGTTCCTATTAACTGCTAACAAATGTTTTTATTTTTTTATTTAATGTACGTAGAGTTAAATTTATTTTTTGTTTAATTTGCGAACACTGATTTGTGTTGTTTTAATTGTATTTTACATACGTTGTTCCTATTAAAAATTTGGCGTAGGGGTAAAAATGACCCAAAAAGTGTTCTGTAATATTATTTTTAAGTTTTTACTGCATTTTTCAAATAAAATTGAAAAACCCCATATAAATGTGTGATTCATTTTTCGACCAGGGTGTCTTAGTATTGCCCCAGATCACCGTTGTCACTATAAATGTCTGAAACTGTTATGTCTCATTTTTACCCACCCACTGTCTCATATTTACCCAAAGTGGCAGGTAAAAATGAGACAAGGGTATTATTATTTGTCTCAAAACCCATAATAATTTCCTTGAATTGCTCGTTTTTGTGTTATTCTGCATCAAAATTTTCATAGTATGGCAATTTTTGAAAATTTATTTTAAAAAGATACCAGTTCAAAAATGAAAAGTTTCATAAAATGTCTCATTTTTACACCACTTGACCCTATATTTTATTCATCTTCAAATAAAAGTTAAAATGTAGAATTTTCTCTAAAAAAACTGTATTCCCAAGGAGCTAAAAGCTAAAGCTGGTTCTTTTGCGCTATATATACGTTGACGTAATTTGTGTTCCAATGACAAATGTCAGTGGCAGTAGACTTATTTCATTTTTGAGTTCGTTTTATTTCTATTATTTTCAAGATTGTATTCACTTAAGCATTAAAAATTTTGTTACATAACTTTGAACTACTATTTGACGATATGTAGCCAATATTAAAAAAAACTATACATTTACATGTCAAACAAAATGTAGGTACCTGTACGTCATTAATTTTTTACTCGACCAATGAACATTTTAATCAAATTTGTTTCAACCTTTAAGTGCTCACTATATACTCTATACATTTTTTAGGTTACTTGAAAATCGTAATATAAATACTTAATAAATTAAATGCTGCTGCCAAGCATGAGCACTCCTTCAGAATATCAAATACTAGCAGAAATCGAAAAAATAAACAAACAGCTAAGGAATTCAATAGACGCAGCGGAAACTCGTTTCTTAGTCAAATTCGGTTACCAAAACAAGAAAATACGCGAATTAGAAGACGACAATCGTCGCATCAAAAATAATTTAGAAAATCTTGAAAAGCAGCTCAAAAATACCAATGTTTTAATATTCGGATTAGGGAAGTTTCAACCGAAACCGCCGAGACGAGAGATTTGCAAGGTATTAGGCGAACTACTCCAAACAGACGTAACTTCAGAGGATATTAAAAATTTATATTTTCTGGGTAAAACCGAACAGGCTCCGCTGAAGATCGAATTTGGATGCTATTGCAAGAAAATGCAAATACTTAAAAATTGCGAACGATTAAAAGGAACAGGAATCAGAATCGGAGAGGATTTGACATTGAAGGAACGCGAAGAATTGAAAATTTTAAAAGTATTTCTTAAACAAGAGAAGCAGAAAGGTTTGTACAAAAAGTGTTTCATAAATAAAAATAAATTAGTATTGGACAACGAATCGTATAGTTCAGAGCAGCTTTTAGAAATATATAATACAGACAAAGTAAGTTCCAGAGTGAGTAATCTTTCTAAAAAGTCTTCCGTTCCTTCCAAAGAATCAATAAAACCTAGCGAAATAAAAAATATTTCCCATTTGTCTCTGGGTAATCTCCAAGGTTATTCAAAAGAATGTCTAAAACATAAAGAAGTAATCAAAGTTCCTCACGCGTCTCTGGTCGATATTCATGATCACTCCAAAGAAAATCTGAAACATATAAAAGTAAACGATCTCCAATGTCTAAATCATAAAGAAGGAAGCAATCTTTCTCATAAGTCTTTGGACAATCTCCAATGCTACTCCAAAGAATGTCTAAAGCATAAAGAAGGAAACAATCTTCACCACATTTCTCTTGGCAATCTCCAAGACCAGAATAAAGAACGTCTGGAATATATTCAAGAAGAGAAAAATACTCAATATGAGATGGAAAATGATTTAATCGCTGGTTCTTCTAAGAAAGAAAGTGCAAAACCAAAAGAAGTGCCAAGTGTTAAACTTTTTAAAAGCGTTCAGGATATTTTCTATGAATTGCAGAAGAAATTGGAATCGTTTGCTAGCAAATTTTGAATGCATATAAATATTATTTTTTTCGACAAAAATATTAACCCATAACAAAGCGTTTGATAAAAAACAGAAATAGAAACGTTAGAAATATCAACATTAGCACTTTTTGTTTTACTGATAATGAAGAATTAATTATATAATTTAAAAAATGCAATAATCATGTAAATGTAAGTTTACATTAAAATTTGAAATTCCTCCCAATTAGTATTTTTTGTAAAACTTAAACGCATTTAACATTCTATATTGAAGTATTTCAGAAGAAAACTGAAACTTGTCTGTTCAGAAGTAACTTTGTCAAAAATCAGGTATACTAATTTTAGGAGATTCTCTTAATCTTCATCTGATTAAGAATGGGACACAGAAGAATTTAAGATTTTCTGATTAAAAATTAGACAAATAAAGGAAATATACTTGAGTAAAAAGTTATACTTTCCGAGAAGTTAAAAAATTCATAAATTATTATTGGCTGAAATATTTTAATGGCTATAATTTTTTAATTACTTAGTATAATTTTACTAAATTCGGCAATATTTTTGGTACACCTATCAGCAAAAAAATCTGTTAAATAAACTTTGCCAGTGACATACGACATAAGTAACACTTTCATCCCTTCTAAATTTTACGCCACTGTCCAAAAACTTATTTGGGACTAAAATTTTTGAAATTTTTTGATGTTTCTTAAAAAAATCATGTATTATTGTGGGAAATTTATAAAAAATCCAAAATCATAAAATTAAAATAAAGAATATTGACCTTTGAGTGTAAATATCTCGAAAACCAAAGACATTACAACATATAGACAAAATGTTTCATTCATAAATCCCACACAATTGCGGACTGTTATTGTTTTAAAATTGTTAGTGAGTAAAAAAGAGAAAGACAAATCTCTTAGGACCGGCTGGCAACGTTGTAAACAGTGTCCGTAATATGCTCGTCAGTGGCGTAGAGTTTTAAACTTAGCAGTATTGTCAGAGTAGTATGTTAAAAAAATACGTAAATAAGTAGGTATATTTTTTTAGTAATATAATAATGATGATTTTTTCATGTAGGTAAATTCAAGCACAAGTAAATTCAAATACAAGAGAATTCAAGTTTTCAATTTTTAATATTTATTGGTTTATGGTTTATTAGCATTCACTATATATTATATTTGCCTAGTATGATGTTAAACAAAATTATTTAAAATTTTAAATTAACATTAAGTAGGTAGGGGTATCTAAATAAAACACTATCCTAAAAATATATAATTTTTTAATTAATAATTACAAAAAACATGGTATGGCAAAAAATATCGTAAATCATTTTTAAGGTATTTTACATTGTACGTTAAATTTTCTTTGAAACTGTTCAATAATTATTTATTGGTATAAGAATAATTTACTAATTTATAAAAGGAATATCACTTTAAAAACTGTTTTAAGACTGTTTTAGACTACACAAGTTTTTGATACAATTTCTTGTACAATTTAAATTGTACATTATCAAACCTGCAGTAAATTCTCTGAAAAATTAGATTGGATAATCATTTTTCAAACAATTTACTATATGATCCTATACAATTTAAATTCTATAAGAAATTGTATCAAATCTTGTACAAGAAATTGTATAGTTAAAATAGTCTTAAGACGAGTGCCCTGGTTCAAATGAAAACAACATATCTTAACCTAAAAATACTTACCGATGAAAGGATAAATTTCGATTAAAATGATCTACCTTATTGAACACTACACATGCATGTACCATAATTCTTTATATTTCTCACAAAAGTTCACAAAAATAGTATTTTATAAATGAATAAATCAATAAGTCACACAGAAACTGTCAGAAACTTAAAATAGCTGTTAGACCCGATTGGCAACGTTGCGGCTGGTTACGGTAACTACACTTCATTCATAAAAATAGGTACTAGTTGTAAATTCGTAAAATAAGATATTCAGCGTTGCCGTATTTACAAGTTCTTTGCAACCCTAATATTTTGTTTTATGTACGCGTTCCCTTTTCCTCTTCTCGCCTTTTCTTTTCCTCTTCTCGCCTTACTATCCTCTCTTCTATCTTCAAAAACCATGCTGGTCTGCTCGTCTGACTTTTGTGTTGTTCAAAGAAAGATATACATACATGTCTACGTGGCTAATACTAGTTAGCCTTGAGTGCGGTTATTGCCACGTACACTTTTGTTTACAGTTGCTAATGATGCACATCTGGATTCGCGAGCACAGGACTGTCTTTGATATGCTTCAAACTGTTTTCAAAATAATTTCTTCGAACTCCTGCACATCTTAACCGCAAACTTTTGCCAAAGTACTTTATAAATTATTCAGTTTCCCACAGACTATTTACAAAGTATGACTACTGTAGGCTAATTACTTCTAGATAATTAAAAGAAGTTACTTTGTCGAATATCACTCCTACTATTTAACTTTTGTTCTCAAACGAAGCGAACGACAAAAGAGCCGCGTCTTGTCGATGTTTTTTCTGTAAATAATTGATGAAGTTGTGAAGCTACCGGCAGTAACTTGGAAGTTGGAATAGAGATTCCGGAATTTAATACACTATAAAATTATTCTCCAAAATGAAAATGAACAAAACATAAGGCTGTCGGTTGGAAGTAAAAGAGTCTTAAAATGCAGAGACTGAACCGAAGGGTTTTAGAAATTGTGTTTTTACGATTGAACGAATAACTTCATTTATTTTATAGGAGATCCAAGTTCACTAAAATCCGTACAGTAAAGGTTTTATGTGGGTCCAAGCGCTATTTAAATTTTTTAAAAATCGATATTGGTAGTAATTTAGTTTTACAACTCGCTTGTAAAAAGGAGATAAACAAAGTCAAGATATAATGATAATTAATCTTGAGTATGTATAATATTTGGAACGTCAGAATTTGTAATTTTGTTACCTGTCTTAATACCGTTTATTGTAACGTTTATTTATTTAAACTGTTAACAACAAGACGCTAATTTATTTTATTTATTTTATAATCTAATTTATTTACTCAATTACTTCTACTAATTTCTATTAATAATCCTAATCTGCTCACAGCAATATCTAAACTTGAACTGATCTTAAAATGTTGGCCTATCAAGTCAACAAAATTTCTTTATTGTTGAAGAATTAACTACATTCTTATTAACAAAGATAGGTAACACAATAGTATAAGAAAGTTAAAAACAAAAGTAAAAAATTAAAATTCAAAGAAAAGAAACAAACAAACAAATATGTCATAAATGAAACTATTTGTTTTTAAAAAAAAATTTAAAATCTAATGTCGAGTCCTAAAATATAAAGAACAAAAATGTATATGCACAACACCAAGTACAAAATGACAATTGACAAATATATAATATACACATATATTAAAATGAGCTACTTAATTCAACCGATCACAGAAAAATTCATCCAATTTGTTGTAGGCTTTTTCGAGCAAGAGTTAACTTGCGTTTTAAATATTTTTAATGAGTCAGAACTTCTTATATTAATTGGCAGGTGCTTAAATATCTTCTTCCCACTATACACTATATACCAAGCCGGAAGAGGGTATAGGCAAGGGAAGGTAAAAGGTAATATTACATTTATATTTTTTAAAAACTAGAAGTACCGTTTCTAAAATAAACAGACGAGGGTTAGGTTAGGTTAGGATATTGTGCCTAATAAATAATGGCTTAAAAGAGATACTAGCATCAACTTTGCACAGATGTCCCTCTTCTGTAAGACAAAGATTCTAGTAAACAACTTGGAAAAACTGTTTCCCAGAAACTTATAGCATATCGCAGATGGGATTCTACCAATGAAAAGTATATTCTTACTGCAAAACATCCAGAGGACAGCTTCTTACACAAAATATTAACATGGATTTCAAATTTTAATTTCTGGTCAATGAATAAGCCTAAGAATTTATTTTCGGTTTTTTTGCAAATTTGTTGCTGTCCAACTGAAATCATAGCGATATCGCCACTGAATGAGACTATATTTGTTTTTGATATATTAAGCGATACATAATTTGAATTACACCATTCTTTAATCTTAATAATGTCTTTCTTAATAGTATTAGACCACTCTGTAATATTCTCACTCTCCCAGAGTATTTTTGTATCATCTGCAAATGTGGCGAAGTATTCATTAATACTGACATTAATAATATCAATAACATATATTAGGAATAAAACCGGCCCCAGAACGGATCTTGAGGAATCCCACAGTAAATCGTAGAAGGCATTGATATTTGCTTATTGAAAGAAACTCTTTGTACTCTAGTCTCCAAATAAGAGTGGAACCAATTTAGAGCTATTCCTCGGAATCCATATTTTTCTAGCTTTCAGCAATATTCTGTGATTTACACAGTCAAAAGCTTTGGATAAATCACACAACACTGCAGCGGCTACCTTGTTATCATTTAAATTGAGGTATAATTTTTCTAGAATAGAAAACATAGCATCGGTGGTATTTTTACCCGATTGAAACCCAAACTGAGATGCAAATAGCACTCCGTAGTTTTTAAGAAAAGCTAGCATTCTCATTTTAACCAATTTTTCAGTAATTTTTGCCAAAGTGGGTAATAAAAAATGGGTCGATAATTAAAAGGACAATTTTGATCACCGCCCTTGTACACAGGTATAACATTGGCTATTTTTAAAGAATCACTGAAAGAACCTGTCCAAAATGAATCGTTGATTGATTCTGCTAAAAAATTTAAAGTATCTTCTGGAAGATATAAAAGAAGATTAACTGAAATTTCATCCAAACCTGAGGAATTCTGTTTTGTGGTAGAAGAAAGGATATCCTTAATTTCTAGGTCAGTTGGTATAAAATAAAATGAATCGTTAATATTAAGATTATTCAAACAAGACAAAGCAGCAATCGAAAGAGTTATTTGGGTGGACAGACTTGGACCAACAGAACAATAAAAATCGTTGATTTTGGTAGGTCCTAACTTACATTCACCAACTTATTACGACAGCGATGCCTTCACCATTTATAGACTGATGTGTTGCTTCTGGATGCTTCGTCATCATTCTAGCATATTCTAGATCGGTGAACAAACAAAAAGTTAATGGGGGGAGGGTGGTTCGGAGGTTTACTTACTTATAAATATAAATATGGAGCCATAAAAGTCCAAAGATGGCAGAAAGAGACTTAAGGGATTAGACCATGACCGGTCAAAAACGGCTCGCAATACATTACCCCCCCCTTAAGTTTTTCTTGGAACGTGAGAAGTATGAGATTGAATAAAGATCGAGAGGTATAGCTTGTCAGAGCACAATACGATGAATCACCAACATAGAAAAGTTGTTGAGAATGAGACAATAAATTCCAACCAGTTGAACGAGATTCTAAGGTAGGACCCTCGCATAGTATATCACACTCAAGTATTGGTTGTACAATTCTTTTTCGTAATTTTGGGAGGCCGTTGTTTTATCACCTGGTGCTCTTTTTCTGTACCACTTTTTCCCAATTTTCTTTTTTCAAACTACTATCTGGTTAACTTTTTTCAAGAAGATAATTGCTTCCTATTGTTAATCTGTTGATATCAGGTGACTTTTGCCAAGCAGCCTGTTGAATCTCAATTATAAAGCGTTATCAAGGAACATTTAAAAGAATCGTGGTGTTGAACATACCCTTAAATCATAAATAATTCTAGTTAAAATGTTCCGATTTAAAGAAGAATCTGGTAACCATGTTATATTGTCAATTTTTTCTTACCTTTATTTTAGCCGGAACCGTAATGGAAACATGAGCTGACGAATTGAATTCTCCAGCTTTGTACCACAGCCTGCACCACACCCGCTCTGCCCCGCGAGTTTTCGTTGCGCCAATCACTCGAATTATCCTTTGACCTTTTCTCTCATCGTAGAACGCCGAGAACACGAAGAATTTGTATCTGAAACAAGTTTTATTTAGATTAGCGCGGGCATGCATCAAAGGGTTACGAGAATTTCATTCGTTCTGGAATTGCAGAAGATTATAAATTAATTATTTAGTGGGAAACAAGCCATAAAAAAATTGAAATAAAATCTCAGATATATTTTATCAAAGGCAATAATGAGTAATGAGTCGAATTGAATGTTTGAATAGTTTTGCCTCCTCTAAAGACTTTTTAAAATTTTACTTAATACCACGATACCACCAAATTTTATCGATTAAGTTTTTAGTTTTCACGAAAACATCTTCATTTTGAAAAACCATGAGAACAATCCGATTTTTTCTTCAGTTTATCACACTGTAAAGATTTGATGTGCAATTATGACTGCGCAACGTAAACACCTTCTATTTCAATTATATGCTTAGATTAAAAAGACCGGAGATTGCACATGTTGTCTATTCCAATTAAAAATCATTTTTTCAACGACGCCACCTGAATTGTTCCGACATTTCTATTCTACGCTCATCTGAGTGAATCATCATGGACCGACGTTTTTTTGAATTAATTGTTGGTGTTATCAGCAATTTAAAGTGTTTTAGTTATTCAATTTCAAGTTGAAAATGCCACGATGTATCGTGAAAAATTGTATATACAAATAATTTAAGTGATGGATATGAAAAATAAGAAATATATTCGTTTTCAGCGATAAATATTTATTAACGTTCTGACATAAAGCCGCCATGATCCTTTGGGTTTCAATAAACATTAAGCATCTAATATTTCAGAAAACAGATTTCATAGTACTTACATAAATTTACTAAAGAGCAAATTTTTTAACATTTAATGTAATTAAGAAGAAAATAGGCGTTGTTGCTAAAGAAATTTTGTTTTTAAAAGAATCTTTATTAAAGGTGGTTTTTAGCCCTTTTCAATAGATAAATTAGAAGTAAAGAAGCATAGTTTTATTTTTATGACGCATTTTTATAAGAATGTTAGATACAATACAGGATGACCTACTTAAAGTTTCAAATGTCATCTTATTTGCGGTCAAATCGGATGTGACATTTGAATCTTAAGTTTTAAAACAAATTAAAATGCACAATATGATCTAGTATAAGCAAATAAATACTAAAGTTACGGGAGTTAGTCACATTGTTAATAAAATGTTACATTATAAATTCCTAAACTTGAAAAAAAATTTTGTTTACTAAAAAATCTAAATTCTTGCAATATTTATTATTTATTATACAATCGATTGTGGTTTTAAAGATAAAGGGATCAAAAAAATGCGAATCTCTAAATTTGCTCGGATAAAAGCAAGCTACCGATAGGGGTTACAAAAATAATCGATTATTTTGTTATTTTTTAAGAAAATCGATTATCAGTTATAATTAATCGATTATTTCCGATTAATCGAATACTTTCGTTTTTCAAAGATAATGGAACAATAGATTTTAAAGGAAATACAAAAAGAAAATAGTTTTATTGAAAAATCGGTTTATCGTTTAATCGCCTTTTTAATTAATCGAATATTTTTGATTTTTCAAAGGTAGGGGAAGGGTGCCTAAAATGGGATACCTAAGGTTTCAAAAAATATAAAAGCAAAAGTTTTCATATTTAGTGGTTCATATTTTGACATAATTAAAAACGACGTGTTTAGAATGTTATAATTTAAGCTGATAATTGAAAATTTTAAAATAATAATATTATTTTGCACACAAAAAAATAGTGTTACTTTCCCATTTTACCCGCATAGTGCGTGTTACCCACGTGTAACCCACGTATCCCATTTTAGGCAACCTTCCCCTATTTGAATAGAAGAAAATACGAAAAAATAGATTTGAAAATAATCGATTGATCGAATATAATCGGTTATTTTATATAATCGATTTTTCGGTGATTTTTTTAGAATTATTGATTTATCGGTTAATCAGATTTTTGATTAATCGAATATTTTCGATTTTTCGATTATTTTCGATTATTTTCGATTATTTTCGATTATTTTCGATTGATTATTTTCGATTATTTTCGATTATTTTCGATTATTTTCGATTATTTTCGATTATTTTCGATTATTTTCGATTATTTTCGATTATTTTCGATTATTTTCGATTATTTTCGATTATTTTCGATTATTTTCGATTATTTTCGATTATTTTCGATTATTTTCGATTATTTTCGATTATTTTCGATTATTTTCGATTATTTTCGATTATTTTCGATTATTTTCGATTATTTTCGATTATTTTCGATTATTTTCGATTGTAACTAGATTATTTGCAAATAATCGATAATGAAATATTTAATATAATAATTGGATCTTGCTCTTCTAGTACACGAGCGCTAATTTTGGGCACTTTCTGAAACCCTATTTACTGCTTTTGGGTGAGCACTTTCTGAGAAAATTGTGGTATCAATTATTGTGAGTAGTTTTATTCTTATTGAATATATGACCACATTTGAATAAAATGGAAAATCTTTAATTCTACACTACTTAATGTAAAAAAGGAAAATAACATATTATTTGAGAAATTCCTTGCCTTTTCCCAGGCTGACATGGACACTTTCAAAATTCACTTAAGAAATGAGTAATGGATTAACTGATTATAGTGGGCCGAGTTGACCAAATTAAAAGCTGTACAGAAAACGAGGAAACATCAAGCCAGTAAAAAATGGAAAGTTGTTTATAGTGCGAAATATCTAAATAAAATAATTTTCCATTTTCCCTACCTACTTTTTTGATGTATTTAAACAAAATATTGAATTATAAAGAAAACCTTCAGAAAGCAGGAAAGCTCATTTTTATTGCAATAGGAGTACATTAAAAAAAAGTTCAAACCAAATTTTTCACTATGTAAAGTTAAAAAATAAGAAGATATGTCATTAAATTTCCTGTTGCTGCTGTTGGCAAATGTTTACTTATGCATTTTCATTTTCCTGAAACTCATTTCCTTATTATGTGGACAACACGATTTTAATATACTAATTTGCAGTCCCGCTTTCTTTTAACGTTTTATATAATAAGAAAAATGTGCAGATGTGCCTCTTTGCATTTAAAGCTATGCTTTGTATTAGACCTTATTTTCATAATTTTATTTAATGAGAATTTCCAACTTTTGTTCTGCTCTAGATTTTAAAACATTCATGAAAGAGAATTCTAGAAACTCCGGAAGTCATGAATAGTTGCTGTAATTAATTATTAAGAGATTCGTGTCTTTTTGAAATAAATAGGACAAAGAAGAAAGTTCGATCCAACTAACTAACTGGAATGTTTTTCATTTTTTTTTTCTTTTTAAAAATGGCTGTTTGTTATGATCAGAATCCGTTTTCCGCGTGCAGGGCAAAAAAGTATTTCGCCCATCAACGTGACAAGATTAAATCCAATTTTTCCGCTGAATAATCAGATGTGACCGGAATAATGTGGTTCAGAATTGCCTCAGTATTTGTAAAAATAAATCTTACTTTTACGTAGTCAGCCATTTATCACTACTTGTGCAATTTATGGCAATAGCCAGAAAGGTGTTTTTTAAAAAGTTATTTTGAAACAAATTTTTAAAAATCGTTTATTAGATATTATAACTTTTAACAAAATAAAATTTCCTTCGATGATTAAAATTATTAGTGAAATTCAAGAAATTCTTTTTCAAAATTTATTTAGGCATAAGCAAATAACAAAGTTGTATAAATAGTATATACACTATCTAATATAAAAAATATAGACACGAATAGAAAAAATTGTATTATACATTCTCAGAAAATAGTTATTTGTTAAGTAGCAGATTTACTGCTGTGGTTAGCATTACATTACAATGAAACTAGGCAAGGCAATAAATCTGTTGCTCTGCCGTGTGAAATATAATTTTTTCACTTATTATTTATACAGTGTGTTGAAAAAAAAAATTAAACTGAAAAGAAAACCTTCTTTAAGTATAACTCACGCATTTTTAATATTTATTCTAATCGTTGTTTTTATAACTGTGGAGCAAACATCCAAAAGCCGATAAATCTACTTTTTACATTTTTTGGACGGATTTTTACTAATTTTGGTGCGCTTTACCGATCTAGCGAATTAGATTCAAGCAAATCCCGATACATCGTATTAAAAAGCACCTTAATTTGTCCATTTCATGCAAATAACGATAAATCTAAATTTCAAGCAAAATCCGATAAAAAATTTTAAACTTCTGTCATCTATGCGGATTACTAAGGTAACGTGACGCCAGAAAATTACAGCTATCTTTTTTAACAAAATAGTTATTTCCGTTTGTCAATAAAAACTAAAAGATAAAGGGGGCACTAGTATGAATATTATTGTTTAAATTCAGAGAAACAGCTGATTTTTTCTAGAAGTGCAGTGGCATTTTAGCAGTTAACCTGTTGCTCGTTTTTTTAATATTGTTTTTGGAATTGTTTATGATGGATGAAGGAGAAGCCAATGTATCTGATATTAGCATAGGAAGTAGAAAACGCAAAACAAATGAGACAAAACGGCAATAATTAAAAAAATGTGCCCTTACTTTTCATAATTAACATCAAGTCTATAACATTTTTTTTATTTCTAGAGTGTGTGTGAGAGAGGGGGAGTTGGCTTAGAATTAAATCTGTTAGCCACAGACTTTTAAAGAAAATGACTACCTAAGCTTGTAGTTATACTTATAAATGTATTTTAATTTGCTTAAGAAATTCAATTAGGAGGTTATTATTGATTTTGCTGTCCTGACTCAACAAGTTAGGAATACTTAAGGGTGGTTTCAATTTCAACTGAATCAATGAATTATATAGACTTTCGGTCTTGGCTTTATGATTGTTGCAATTAAAGAATATATGATTTGGGTCTGCTATCGATACATTATCACAAATACTGCTGAGTGGACAATTCCTAATTTAGCTAAATGATAGGGATATCTTCCGTGTTGTGTTTTTAATCTTATCATTGATGCTGAGTAGTATTTAGAGACGTTGTACTCGAAAATATATTCTGGCGGAGATGGTAGTTGAGGGTATAACTGGTGATATAG